CGACAGGTGCGCCGACGCGTCGATCATCGCAGACGCGCTGCGAGCCTTCGTGGCCGAGGACTGGCTCACGTACGGGAGCAAGCCTGGCAAGGATAAGTTCAACGAGACGTGCATCGACGAAATCCATCGGCACGCGAAGGCTCGTCTTCGTCGTCGTCGTCGTCGTCGACGTCGTCGACGTGGCCGTCCGTCGCGTCGCCGTCGGAGGAGGGGGAGGGGGGCGGAGGATGGGCGAGGAGAAGGACGAGAATAGGAAGGATGAGGAGGAGGAGGAGGACGAGGAGGAGGAGGAGGAGGAGCAGGGAAGAGGAGAAGGAGGAGGAGGGGGAGGTGGAGGAGGAGGAGGAGGAGAAGGAGGAGGGGGAAGAGGAGGAGGAGGAGGAGGAGGAGGAACGATGATGACGACGACGATGACGTCAACGCCGAGTGGACGATAGACCGACCGACCGACTGGCTCCTCCTCCTCCTCCTCATTCTCCTGGTCCACCCTCCTCCTCCTCCTCCTCCTCCTCCTCGATTCTCATCCTCCTTATCCTCATCCCCTCTCCCTCTCTCTCCCTCCCTCTCCCTCCCCCCCTCCTCTTCGTGACGGTGATGGCGACGACGGCTAGTTTGAGACCCGAGGCGATTGCGGCGCTCGAGGCGATCTCGCCAAATCTCAGCCTCACGAAGGAGGCGTGCCATCAGGCATTCAAGCAATCGGCGACGCTTCGCGTACCACCGCCAGCCCATCCAGAAACGATGCCGACGTGGGAGAGGGCAAGGAAGGGTAAGGGGTAAGGCAGGGTAAGGGGTAAGGCAGGGTAAGGGCCCACGGGGCACCCCCCACCTCTGGACTGACATCTCACGCCCATGGGACACCCCCCACCTCTGGATTCTCGAAGGGGGCGGGTGCGGAAGAGAAGTGTAACTTAACGCGCACTTGCGCCTGGATGGCGTGGCGGACTGATGGGCTCGATTGACAGCTTGAGCCGACTCTCTGACGGGCAGAAGGACGACTGGGCCGCCAAGCAGTCTCTCATGTTCTTCAGGGCATCGAACTAGAGCAGGAGAACGACGAGGAGGGGGATGATGATGAGGACGAGGAGGAGGGCGAGGACGAGGAGGAGGACCAGGAGGAGGAGGAGGAGGAGGAAGACGAGGAGGAGGAGAAGGAGCAGAAGGAGGAGGAGGATGGGGGAGGGGGAGGACGAGGAGGAGGAATGCGCGGAGGAGGAGGAGAGGAGGAGGAGGAGGAGGAGGAGGAGAACACTGAGGGAGAGGACGGGCACGCATGACTTGAGCCATGGACGAGGGTCGGGGGTGGGCCGAGCCAAGGACGAGGTTGGAGGACGACCAGGGCCGCGAACGCGCGGCGTCAACGCCCGCGATCGCTGATCCGACGATCGTCTTCCCCCCATCCTCTGCGCTGCGCGCCCCAGGCTCCGCAGCATGATGCGCCACCTCTACGACCCGTTGCGGCGCGAGCGCCAGGAGGGCAAGGTCCCGCAGTGGCTCAGCAAGCTTCGCGAGAAGCAAGGCATAGCGCGGGCGGCGCCCTCGACCAGGCCATCGCCCGCATCTGCGGCATCCGCCGCCTCTGACTACACGGTGACGTACGACGCGGCGTCGGGCACCGCCTTCAGGAAGGTCAAGGGCAAGAAGGCTGAGCCGACGAACGTGTTCGAGTGCAAGCCGACCGCCAAGGGTCACCATTTCATGACGGCGAAGTGGGGCGACGGCTACTCCTCGGAGATCTCGTCCTTGACCGTCGCCGCGTGGAGGAGCCGTGAGAAGCAGGCCGCCTCCAGCGGAAAGCGGTGCCTCAAGCTTTTCTCTGGGAAGATGGATGACGGCACGACGGTCTCGGCGGAGAAGAAGCAGCTTGACCCCAATAACCCTGGCGTGATAATAAAGGTGAACGGCTCCCAGAAGGTGCAGCTCAGCTTCAACTGCGTGCCAGAGGCGGTGGCATGCGCTCAGGCCGTGGCGTGGGCCAAGGGCGCATTGGCTGGCAGGTACGACTACGACAACGACCTGAAGCCGATGAAGGAGAAGCTTCAACGGTCACATGCCTCGCATGCCGCGACTGCAGGCTTGAAGCGCCCAGCTGCAAGCACCGCCATCGAGCACAAGAAGCCGCGGCCTGCCGCCGCCGCCCCGCTCGAGCAGGAGGGGGGGGGGTCCGGTGCCGAGGAGGGAGGCGAAGAGGAGCCACAAGCTGACCCTGATCACGAAGTTGACCCTGATGCACCTCGCGAACGACCCCCTCGGTTGCTCGGCCCAGACTCGCCATCGCAGGAGAAGGGCGAGGACAGCAGCACCAGTGGCTCTGACAGCGACGGAGCGAACGAGGATGACGAGGAGGATGCCGAGAAGGGGGAGGCCATCAACAGTCCAGCCGCCGCCGCGGCGAGCACCCTGAAGAGGCCAGCTGCTGTGATTGCCGAGCAGAGCGTCGACGTCGCGCAGATTGTCGCGAAGAAGCCGTCGGCCAACGACGCGCCGCGTGCCGTTGCGCAATTGAGCTCGCCACAGTCTGGCCTGTTTTCTGCGTTTTCACGCTTCTCATCTAGTGCTGACCTGCGCGTGTGATGCAGCGAAGGCGCTGCCTTGCGACAGATGTCCGCAGCTCGGCCACGCCGCATCGCTGTGGAGGAGGGCCTTCAAGAAGGGAACGAGCGAACATGAGAGATGAAGGAGGCAAAGAGGAGCAGGAGGAGGAGGATGGTGGAGATTGTGGGGGGTGATGGTGATGATGATGATGATGATGATGACGATGATGATGATGATGATGATGATGATGACGATGATGATGATGATGATGAGGTGGAGGAGGGGGAGGGGGAGGGAGAGGAGGAGGAGAAGGAGGAGGAGGAGGCGGAGGAGGA